CTCCGGATCACCAGAGCTGACGAGACCAACTACAAAGTTTTGGACAGCCGAGGGCTGAGGGAAGTACTTGAACCCAACTTTCTATTGAAACGTCAATAGCACTAAATGTAAGTGTGCGATTTAGTATCTGGAGCAGAAACATCTGGGTTATAGCTCCACACCCAGCAACATCACCCAAATTCCATAGTTCTTTCCCCCATTTGTAGCCCCCTGATTACAGACAGAGAATCTTGATGTCAGCTACACACCTGTACAGTCTCGTGACTTCATGCCAATTTCTATTGCAGTGATGCTGTGCGATAAGACGACAGACATATAAACACATGGAAAACAATCTGCCCCCAAACCTCTCCGGTGCCCACATCAGTCTCGTTGCTCATGAGGGTTCCTGCTAGGGTTATACCTCTGTGGCATCCTGACAGCCATCTGGACAGTGTTTTTGAGGATGCGTGGTAGTGCGAATGTATGGTAACTGAAGAGCTCTCTCTGACAGGAAACAGCTGCAGCCATAATGCATCAGTTTAAATTCTTCAGTCTTGAGACAACCTCTCCTCACCGTGTGGTTTTAGCGTGAGATCGTGATTCACTCAATAGAAAAACGTATTCATGTTGATATTCCGGTCGGGCGGGGGGGGGGGGGGGCTGCATAACCCCAGAGGGAACTGAAAGTGGGGTGGGGGGGTGGGTCACCGGCTTAGTGCGCCCTTCTTCACCTCCACCTCCACGAGCACCCGCGCCCTGCCCACTCACCGACTCACCTATGCACTTTTGTTCATTCAAGCTGTGAGGTACCATTTTGGGGATGGGAGCACAAATCGCCACGGGAGGATTGCTACGACTTTTGACAAAGTCACTGAAAAGATATTCCCCAAACTGAAATGAGAGACTCAAGGAGCTCGCCTTCTCCCACCTCCTGTGTGTACATAACCGTATTTTTGTATTATCTTTCAGAGCAGAAAGAACATTTTCAAATGGATGAAGGAAAATTCATGAGACGTCGATTCTATGGAGTGAATGTTCCTCAAGGAAACCAATCTTTTTGAGTATAGTTTTGAGATGGACTCGCTGCGAGTTTCCCTTAGTTTGCCAGTAACCTTGAAATAATCGGGATGGAAGGGAGAGTTTTAAAAGAAAATAAACTTTAAAACAAACATGGAGTGCGTTGGAGATGCGACAGCGGCTCCAAGACTGACTGACTGACTGACAGCTACTTATCAAAATGGATGCTGCGGTCGCTCCAAAGAGCCCCGCCCCAAAATGCGCTTGATCTACGTGCGACGAGGCAGACCTGCGTTTTTGAAGAGCTTTTGGCAAGGAGGCTTCCACTTCCTCTCCAAACCCGATGACTGCCTTCAGAGACCGCAGGAGGAGAAAGCTCTGGCAATGGTAAGATGTTCCTCTTTGGTTCTTCTTGGCACCTCGTGTGATCCATGTTGTCCCCGGTCAATGCTTGTGAGGGGTCGGACCGTGTGGTGAGTCTCTTCTCTCTCTCTGTCTTCTCACAGGAGTCTTGGCTGTGCTTTATTCGCTGCCCTCTGCAAGGAGGATCTAATCTACAGCCGACCCATGAACCAGTTGACCCTTGACCTATCATCATTTGAAATGAAACTCTCCTGTCCTGACCCGGCACCAGGGACGCCATCGGCATTATCGGTTGGACAGTGACCAGGTGACGGTCCCGCGTTTATCAACCGTGGGCCCCCGTCTGCGTTGGAGAGTGTCCGGTTTGGGATTTCGTCCCAGACGTCAGAGATTCCAACGCTGGATTTAAAAAAAAAAAAAATTTTGACGGATTACATCAAAGTTGCCGTAAATCCCTGCCGCTGCGGACCTGGATGAACTAAAAGAATTGTACAAAAAAATACTTTTGAAACATGACAAAACAGACGCGTAGCTACATGTCACATAGACTCTATAGTGCCGGGGAGTTGTAGACGCACACTACATGGAGACACACACACACACACACACAGCAAAAGCAGCATACACACAATCCCAGTGGCGCTCCTCTGGAACCACATCTTCAGACACAACAAGGCTACATCAACATGGAGTCCACACACACACACACACACGTATCGTCGCTCATAATATAAATGCTGAGCTGTGTAAACAATGTAAATGTTTGTGTTTTTGATTTTTCTCTTAGTGGTTTTGCTTCATTTCTCTGTTAAAACATGCCTTAAATTGTACAGTTCAGTCCTGAGCGGCGAGCTGAAAGTGTTCTCTAAATAATCCATTCAAGTTGCAAAACCACCTCCTCAAACTGTCCCCTAAAGTGAAAGAAAGATGGGAGCTTTCATTAAGTCCGGGGGCCGTCTGTTCTGCAGTCATTTGCGCATCCGTGTAGCTCCACAACAGAGCAGCAGGCGGCCTTTTTGATCTAATTTTGCTGGTTGGCTTTTGTTGCCCTTTTGGTTTCCTTTTTAAAGATGGAGAGTGGTTTTGTTGTGATGTCCTGTTTTGGATGATTGCTGGTGCAGGCTTAATAACCGCGGTCTGCACTGAGAGGAGCTGAGCTGACGGGGAGGGGATGCACGCGTGGACTTACACACTGGTTGCTGTTGGGGCTTTTATGGTTGTTTTTTACACTCCGGGGAGGGACTTCAAGGTCTCGAAAGCAACTAGGTACTTTTTACACTTTTGAGACGTCGGATCGGGCTCGTAGGAAGCGTGGTTGTGAGAGCGAGCTTGTGTGATTTGCAGTATTTGTGGGTCTCGACGCTAAACCGCGAGGCCAAAGTTGCTGCAGATTTGGTGGGTGGTTGTGATGCTGCCTGCTGACCATTTTTGGTAGCACTGGATAGATAAGGAAATTAACCAGGCGTGCGTGCGTGTGTGTGTGTGTGTGTGTGTGTGTGTGTTATCTTAAAGGAAATTATATGTCCTAAAAAATTGGAAAGTGTCTAGCTCCAGGTATGTATATGTAATTGGATTTAAGAGATGAATGCTTTTAATCAACCAGTTTTTGGTTGGTATCGTCGATATCAAAACAATATTCAGTTTTTAATCCAAATGACAGCTGATATTCAGTGAATATCTCGTAATAAACGTGCACGTTTTGTTTAGCTGAGGGTTCCGTGGATAGTTACCAGCTGCAGCAAACTATGTAAACTGAAGTAGCAACAGCAGGTGCCAGTTTGTCGTAACTGTTGAATTGTGCTAAAGAGTTACCAAGTTTATTGTTGTGATCAGTTGCCCAAATCATAAATATACTATCAGGTCTCATTGGTGAATATCTTTAAAAAATACCTAATGTCATGGCATTTTTAAAAGCTGATGTTGCGTGGTGTTAGTTGTTGGTCGCTGTTGGAAAAAGTAAAACGAGGTTGCGTACCGTTCATTTTACTGCATTACACTATGATCTATTTTTATGATTAGATCAATTCAATTTTTGTTGTCAAAGCCCTGGATGTTTGGTTGCAGTCTAAAAACTAGAGCCAGTTATCAGTATGAAGTCATCCGGTTTATTATAGCTCTGGAAACTAGTTTCAATCACATAGTTTGTAATGATGTGATGTGATTTCTATCCCTGTCAGCTCTGCTCCTTTGCCTAATAACTCTTGAATGTTGTTAAAATAACAGCAGACGAAAAGAACAACTGAAAGATTTGTAAATAGCTTTTTGTTTGTTTGTTTGAAGAACAAAATAAATACAAAATAAATAGCATTTAACAGTGATTATTTCTTTCTGTGTGCGTGCGCGCGCACGTATATGTGTGTGTGTGTGTGTCATACGTAAGCGCGATGCCATCACTAGTGCAACTCTCGCGATAGTTAAAAACGCATGGCCGCCCACAGTGTTTACAACTTCTCGCAATGAACCGATGATTAAAAACACAAGTCCCGAAGAAGACGGCCGTAGAATATTTCTCTAACTCGCTGGTAGTCTCCGGCTTGCAGTTAAACCTTTTACACCAGCGAGGGGAAAAGTGCGTATTGCCAAATAGGCCACAACACAGGTCGGTAACATTAGCTCTAGACTGCTAGCTTATGCTAATGCTACCAAGAGCTAACGTGAGGTGGCTGCCTTGTTGCTGTTGTGGACCGACTCTTAGTAACATACTGCATTTTCTAAGAAGTTGGGGGCGATGGGGGCGGGACGTGCACGGGTGGGATTTGATTTGATTCCTCGCGAGCGTGAATTTAGCAAAACGATTATCAATGCTTGTCCAGAGAGGAAGGCACGTCACCACCAGCCACAGGTGTCAGTAGATTGGTTGCACGAGCAGTTCCTTTTATTTATAACCCTCAACTAAAACGTCACGTTCCCTCCTTGTCAGTCGACCGATGATGTTTGATCACCGCGCTCATGTATTGCATGTTTTTGATATTCGCTCTCCCCTCTCCTTGTGTTGTTTGTTTCCAAGCCAGTCGGTGCTGTGATGTCCTCGACCCCCAGCAGACTCAACCCCCCCCACTGCAGGAAGAAGCACTATCCCAGTAGCACTTACCTCACCCACGTCTGACAGCCCCCCCCCCCCCAACTTGTAGGCATCTGTACGCCAATTGGAGGACAGGAGACAACCAACCAGAGGGAGATGTCTGACACGGCTGGAGGAGGTGAAAGCAGTGGTGTAGGAGAGCCTGATGGGGACAGCGACGCCCCTCGTCAGGGACCAGCTTTGCCCGAGTGGGACATCTTGGAGGTGACCTCAGAGGACGGGGTCCCTTTGTCCGCCAAGCGGCCCAGAGTGAGCGAGGAGGAACTGGGTCCGGAGCCGGTTGCAGAGCCCGTCGCTGTGCACGAAGGAAGGCCGGCGCAGACCGGCCCGCTGCAGGAAGATTTAGTCCCGCTAGAAACGGGAGAAGCGATACACGGCAAGGACGCGGCGCAAGAGGTGCCCGTGAGTGGGGGAGTCGAGGAAGAACGGCATCAGGATGGAAATGGCGGGCATGAGGCACCCGTAGAAGAAGGCGAGACGAGGCCAGAAGGCGATAACGGTTCTGCAGACAGCCCCGGGGAAGAGCCGCGGTAAGTGGAGGAAGAAAGTCCTGGTTAGAAAGAAAAGGAAAATCAAGTTTTACAAACATTTGACCCATCAAGCATACTTGGAGTAATGAGAAGAAGCTTCTGTTGTGGGCCTTCAAACAAGTAAAATGTGTAAAGAATTCGGTCAAGAGCAGTGAGTGAGGGTCTCGCTATCAAAATATTCTGATCATTTCACAGTTGTCAATCATCACCGAGGCAATATCTGGCGAGGTTTTGAAAAGGGCAGGATTAACCAGTGGATGTGTGAAATGTAATTAAGGAGCACATCCACCATGTGGCGACACTGTCTACTTGATTTGGTTTGTGTTTTATACACTGCAGCAGTTTAGTACTCAGCGAGGAAATGCTGAATCCAAACAATTCTTATCAGAACTACAGGTTGATTTATGATTATTATTTATTTGGTTGCGTTCATTCTGGCAACTTAATGAGTACGATGGAAAATGTAGTCCCTCAAAATGACTGTGTGAGGTTTTCTTTGCAGTCTGTTGGAGTCATTAACTGAAGTCTTTCTCTGTTTTGCTTCCAGACTTGGTCTAGATTTCACCCAGAACCCGCAGATGCTCACTGGTTCCTGGACAGAGTACTCCAACCTTCCAGAGAATTACCTCAAAGGCTGCAAATGGTAATCGCTAATAGAAAAAGCATCGGGTACTTTGTTATTCGGAGTCATTAATATGACCAAATAGAAATAAGATCGTTACATTAGTACATTTTGCAAAGCGATTCACCGGTTGATCAGGCAAAGATCCAGAAGTGGCGAGTTATGTCGCCAGTAGGGCAGACAGTACAGTCACACACAACTTGTCAGTAATGTTGCTGCTTAGTTTGAATCAGTCATCAATTTTCACCAAAATGAGGGTATAACCTTAAAACGATTTGCTACTCCATAGAACAGTGTATCTTATAACGGAGCTATCGTTAAGAGCTTATTTTAGGATGTATCCTGTTTTGAAGAGCTGCTTTAACAATAACATGAAATGGAGGCGAGAGGGAATTATGACCCTGTTTAGCACCAAATTGAAACTTAAAAAATGAATTATTAATGAATTAAAAATAATTATTCATACGGTTAAAATAATTCTTTGGGACACTGGTGAAATCAGCATTGCCGCCCACATTGCAGTCATGTACAGTTCTTAGAAAGAAGAAGATCTGCATGTCAGATTGTTTGACTTGAGGAAACTCAATCGGCCAAGAAATATGAAACCCTCTGCACCTCTGATATTGCGGCGGGGAGCAGAAACTGGGTTCATTCTCAGACCGTGTGCAAGTGAGGCTCCAAGCAATAAACATCTCAATCTTATGGCCCAGATAAAACCCAAATCAATTCATTTGTTCTCAGTTCACCGCAGTAAACCCGCCATCTGGTTCCAATTCACTTCCCACTCTTCTACTCCAGGGCTCCTGATGGTTCCTGTATCCTGACCAACAGCGCAGACAATGTGCTCCGCGTGTACAACATCCCGCCGGAGGTTTACAGCTATGACTGGGATTCTCTCCCTGAGATGGTGAGCAACCCCATAGCTCTGAGTTGATATAAGGGAATTGTAAAAGGAATAAAGAAAACTCAATGCAACACGGTGTCGGGTGGGGACGCACAAAAGTGCCAAGATTATGGATCTTTAGCCTCCACTACCGCTTTGTTTGCCAGTGACCTAAGCTAATATTTACACTTTTCTTTAGCTAGTGACAAACAAGCTGCAACCGCTCTGATTCGAGCCATCGACGGTTTGGGGACCAAAAAGCAACCAAACAAATGTGCACATTTAGATAAAAGACACCAGTCAACATTACTTAATGGGTTCACGTTCACCTTTGTGAAATCTTTTTTCATTCAAAGGCGAAACAACATGGATGTTATCTAGTTCGCCGTCATTATTTCACACTAACTCGCCTCAAGTCAATGTAGGGGTTCGATGCGGATATTGCTGTTTTAGTGCATGTGGATGAGCTTCACTGGTTAACTCGCACCAACTTTTTTTCCAATATTTTGAATCAAATTTGAAGCGATTTTTCTCAAATGGTGTTTCTGATTAAAAGCCACACTCCTGGTTATTACTAGAAAGTAAAAAAAAAGGTTGGAAACTTTGGATAGAGGGGATAACATTTTGGTTATGGTGGCGTGATGAGGGGATTAAAATAACATTCAACATTTACAGTGGCAAAATAGGGACGTTGATGACATTTCTCTGAAACGCTCGTGTTGTGTCATCAACGAAAGGAAAACATGTCAATCAGTGTTGGGCAGCAGCCTGAGTTACTTAAGATCTAAGGAAAGACATTGTGTCTTTTAGGTTTTGCCAGCCAGGGTCTTATATGTGTTACAGGCTGATAGATTGGGATCAGTGAACAAAAATAATTGAAATATAATCCCTTTTTCCCCCCATCTCAGAGATCCGTCAGCGCTTGTTAAAAGGAGGGAAAAGCTGAGCTTTTATTGCTTCATCTCTCACACGCTGCCGCTGGCCGGTGAATGTGACTCCAGGGTGTCGCACCTGTTCAGCATCACAACTGTTTACGTTCCTGACGCTTTTCTTTCCTTCTGTGGCAGAGTCCGGTGCTGAGGATGGCAGAGGGCGACACCGTCTACGACTACTGCTGGTACCCCAAGATGAGCTCTCTGGACGCAGACACATGCTTGTGAGTTCAGCCAGGTGTCAGTAAAGACGTCCAAAGTTCAAGTTGTAGGTCCGCCCGTACAATGGGGAAGGATGGATACGCAGAGGAAGCCCCATGTTGCGTATCGCGGCCCGGTGGCAGTCGCTGATCGGCGTTTTTCATCCAGATCTCGGATGGCTCCGGTTGGTTCGCTCGGGCCGTACATTTGAACATGTACAGCATATGGTTGTGCGCTTGCGAGTCATCCTCTGATCTCCGTGGTATTCACACCCGTTGTGCGAGGCCGGCCCGGCATCGCAGAGACTCTGAAGTGTCTCATTATGAGTGAAGAGTCGGCCTTGGTCTCGCCTGCCTCGGCCGCCGTGCTGTTTGAGGCCCACGGTGCTTTTCAGCACGATTCAGCCCACTAACTGCTCTCCCTGGTACAGACAACGGCCAAAGAGCCTCGCGATGCTCTAAGGCAGGGCATCTCTTTTCATCCCATTCCTCTTTTTCTCCTTCTTTTCTTCACTGCCGTGCGTGCGTGCAGTGGTGCACTCTGGAGGGCTTTTGAAAAGCGCTATTTGTGACGTCACGGTGGGTGCGCTGTTGAACAGAGCGGACATTAGTAACACCCCGCGAGAGAGGGAGGGCGGGTTCAAGTCGATAACAGTTTTTGCCCTGTATGCCCCCCTCACATCATCCTCCACTCACTGCGTCCTCCCTTCCCAAAGATCCCACTGATCAAGGCCCCGCCATGGCACCACTCCACCCGTAACACCAGACAGCCATCACTGTGTGAGAGGACGGGGGGGGTCAGGCGCTGTGTGTCCAGAGATGAGTTGTGTAAACAGCAAAACGACTCATGTGGACAATGAACTCAAGAGGCGTGTGTGTGTGTGTGTACATCTGCCAAAGCCGTGGAAAGGCCTGTCTTGTCACGACGGTGAGGATGGCGGGCGATGTTCTTCATCCTCTTCATATCACCGCCACGTACCACAGGGGGGCTCCTGCAGGGCTCCGCCAGGTGGTCGGAGAAGACAACGGGTTAAGAGCCGATCAAAGGTTGCGCGTCGGATTGGTGGCCGCGTTTACAGAAACCGTTTTTTTCGAGGGCCCCCCCTCCTCTGTCCCTCCCCTGCGCTCTTGAACTTCTGTCTGCCAAAAGCCGTGTGTTGTTGATGCCCCTCCTGTGGAGCGGGAATAAGGGCCCCTGTTTAGGCTCAGTGAAGTCGCACTGAGTTCTAGGCATCGCTCCAAGCCAGCAGCAGTCTAGCATTATAATTGGGCATTTTCCTGCCCTGGAATAAAGCTGCGGCACTGAGGGGCCACAACCCAACGCGGCCGCAGTAGCAGGGGCTAATTTCCTTTTGTCTAATTGAGCTGCGGCCGATGTCTCGCCGTTTCTTCAACACCCAGTAATTGGAGTTACAAAAATCTTACAATCAATAAGAACGGTCTCCATTATGACGCAGGGCACAGCGCGGTGCATCTGGCTGGGTGATGCGTTCAGGGGGAGGCGGTGTCGCGGAGGCTAGAAACTGACTAAAACAAGATGTTTTGTGGTCATACATAAGGTATATTTCAAGACTCTCAGCAGCTAATGTCCTTTTGTATCTTCTCTTCACTCACTGCTCATAAAATCTCAATCTCTAAAAAAAAAAGTTTTTACTCTTTGTCGGGCCTATCGCTGCTCTTCCGTAGTCTTGCCAGCAGCAGCCGAGACAACCCGGTCCACCTGTGGGATGCCTTTTACGGGGAGGTGCGAGCGAGCTACCGGCCCTACAACCACCTGGATGAGCTGACGGCGGCGCACTCGCTGTGCTTCTCGCCCGACGGAACGCAGCTCTACTGCGGCTTCGACAAAACGGTCAGGGTCTTCTACACCGAGCGGCCCGGGAGGGACTGCGAGGAGAGGCCCACCATAGGTCAGTCACCCGCCGCCAGTGGCGTCGATCGTAATCTGTGTTAATCGTGGCTGCTTTACATCAAACGTTAACTTGATGAATTCTATTATGTATTGAAATGCAGTGGCCGCTCTGAAAACTCCAAAACGTTTCTTTGAGAGTAAAGAATAAATCTAATTTGCTAAAGATTTGCATTCTACAAGCTAAGATCTCGGAGAAACAAACGACGTGACGAAAATGAAAATTGTTTGTTTTCTTGTATTCCAAAACGTTTGTTTGACAGCTGGTTATCACATCTAACGGGCTAGAGTGTCCTTGAACAAATCAATGTGCCTCGGACAACAAAATAAAGAACTAAATGTTTATGGAGACAACGTTCTATCTACCTGACGAGTTTGAGCCGGCTGGCAGTCTAAAATGAACTGAACCGTTGTCTGCCTACTAGTTTCTGACTAAAGTATTGTACACCCCCCGAAATGATCTTCATGTCCATCTATTTTTATTATTGGAAAGATGTGCAAAATGACAGGTTACTTCTGAGATGGCATTAAAAAACTCAAATATGCAAAATGGCTGTAATGAGCTTTTTTCCCTATAATGAGTAAAGCTCAACTCTAAACTTTGCTGCCATGATTCCATCTCGCTCTGAAAGATTAAGGCTGCCAACAGCGTACTTTCCGTTGGACTCCATCAGCTTGGCCTCACAATTGATAACTGCAGAAATGTTATGATTAATCTCGAGAAGAACTCGTGTGACACGCGAGGACTGTGCCAAACCCCCACCTCGCGGCAGCAAAACGTGCCAACAGCCTTTTTCAAAGAGTCAACTTTGAGTGTGAGTGATTGGGAGCTGTGTCGTCTTGTTACCGCCTTGCCAAATGTCCCTCCGCTGTCCTCGCGCTGCAGTGAAGAAGCAGGGCCAAAGTGGCATCATCTCCTGCTTTGGCTTCAGCCCCTGCCAGTCTGTTTACGCCTGCGGCTCCTACTCCCGCTGCGCCGGCCTCTACTCCTGCCAAGACGGCACCCTGCTGGCTCTGCTGCCGACCCGCCACCACGGAGGCCTCACCCACCTGCTCTTCTCCCCTGACGGCCACTACCTGTACACGGGGGGCCGCAAGGTGAACACACACCTACATTCAGCGGGACACAGACCAGAGAGCCGAGGGCTGTTTCCGTTTACTTCTCGGCAGCGTGTGGATGTTTTATTGGACACGTGCACCGTGGAGGCTCCAAAGCTGTTAACCGCTCTGTAGTGCAGTTTGTGTTATTGGACGGACGAACTGCGCTCTAGTGAAGCTTTCCAGAGGCTACAAACTAATTGATCTGCAATTAAGCAACAGCGTCAGCAGAATACATTTTAAAATTCCCCAATAGTACCTGTGATACCCACCTGTAACTGTGGATAAATGTGTGTGTAGGATCCAGAGATCCTGTGCTGGGACCTACGGGAGCCGGACCAGGTTGTGTTTTCGCTCAAGAGAAACGTGTCTACTAACCAACGCATCTACTTTGATCTGGACCCGTAAGTGTACCGCACCCATCAGTGATGTGACCCGTGACAACGTGCTCATACTGCCCTCCGGACCACGACACACATTGATGTGTGAGCGTTCTGTCGTTCATGTACAAACTGAATACTTGCATTATGTTGATTGGGTACAAATGTTTTTGCTGGTTCTGTCGTGGGAAGGTCGGGCAGGTACCTGCTAAGTGGGGACACGGATGGAATGGTGTCTGTCTGGGACACCCAGACAGCGCCTCCTGATGGTAACGAGGTGCTGCTGCAGCCCCAGCTCAGTTTCCAGGCCCATTGGGACTGCACCAACGGCATCAGGTATGCAGCACTAGATGGGGGGAGGGGCAGAGCACATGGCTGTGGTTCAGCCTGGCTTCCTCTTTCATGGTTCTTAATACAACCTTGTAACCTGGGAAATTGTTCTGAATGAATTAAAACAGGAAAAGAAACCGCGCCCAACTTTTGAGTTCTAATATTAATCCTGAGTGTTGGTGCTTGGGGTGAAAAACACGGAGCAATAACAACAGCTTCAATATGCATATAAATCCCTGGCTTTGTGTTGTTTGTAGAAGATGAAGTAGCTGCTCAATTGGAAATGATGCATCCATTTATGATGCACCAATTAAATACCTTGTTTTTCGGACCGTGAATCTTCTTTTAATGAATATAAAGTGCAGTGCTGGAGTTTCCTCCCATTGTCTTCACTGCTGCATCCTCCTCCCCCTCAGCGTTCATCCCTTCATGCCGCTGTTGGCCACATCCAGCGGGCAGCGGCAGTTCCCGTCGCCCGGCGAGAGCGAGGGCGACTCTGCCTCTGAGGGCGAGACAGCTGAGGCCGTGATGTCGCCTCAGGAGGCCCGACAGGACAACGCCCTGAGTCTGTGGTGGGCCGGGCCGCTCGGCAGCCAAGAGCAGGAAGGCGAGGCGGTGGAGACCTGACGCTCTGCACGTCACACCTGTCCCGGGACATTTAGATTGGGGACGGCCTTCCGTGAAGCTGACTAAGGGGTCGTCATGCCATCCGCAACATTATGTCCTGGGGTGGCACCGCATTTCAGGGTCATTTTAAAATCTGGTTACATATAAATATCTGCGGCCTAATTAAGCTAAAGTGAATCAACATAACATCTGCGAGTTAACATTTCCTGACACATTTGCGAAGATTAAAGGTCAGTGCAGGACAGATGTTCAGCGTTCTTTGTATGAAGAGTCGTTGATGTGAAGCTAGTTTGGTACATAATAATTAGAACGAGCTGCCTATAAGACTGGTCAATGCTAAATGCAGGGTAGAGACAAGATGGGGACTTATTTAATTGGCAGAAGAACAAATCGTTAAACATAAAAAAATTAGTATGAAACCTTTTTTTTCAAGGTGAATGTTCTTCCTGATTTGTAAAGGTTTGGAGGGACTTGATTGTGAGAAGCGGCCCAGTGTCTGTTTGGAAGAGTTTGTTCACATGTGTGGCTATAATGGAGGTTCCTCGCAGGTTTTTACCTACATTAAGGGCCATTTGTTTTGTAGACTGATGGGATCTTCCGGGTTTAGCCGTTCTTTTTTTTAAATCTATTTGGCTGTGCGTGTGCGTCATGTCGCTCAGTGCATGACCCCATGTATATTTTTGTAAAGCCGCGATGATCGCTAATGTTTTCAAATGCTCTGTAAGCAGCTAGCTTGATTTCTGTGACCTCATAACGATCTGTGAAGTCTGTAAGTGAACCAGGAAAAACAAGCGTTTTTCTTTCTTTTTTACCTGCGAGTGTTGATGTGGCAGCACAGAACACATTGTTTGTACAGTTGTATTAATAATGCCCTGCAGTGGTCCATGCTCATCATCGCCCCATCAGTGGGGTCAGCTTTGCTTCGGGTGTTATTCTTCTGCAGGTCGATCGGATGAAGCACAGCATGATCCAACTGAAGCCTCGTATCTTTGACACGGAGGAATCAATACGTTTCGAAGCCTCTGCTGATCCAGGGTTCACTCCTTGAACTCAAATCGGTTGCTGGTAACAATAGCAGCTACGATTGTGTGGCTGCCTTTAAACAATACTACACTCATTTGAATTGCCAGAAAGCATCGTGAAACCATGTGACATACGTCCCTAGATGGATGGCTGTGTGTGCCACAGGTGGTTTTCTTCAAGCTGCAGTGAATTAAAAGCATATCTCATAACGTCCTCTTATTCGTCTTTTGTCCTTTTTCAGTTTAAAGCAGTTCAGAGTTGGATGCCCTGTATTAAATCCCCACTTCATGCGACACGATGCTCGAGTCGAGAGGCGGCTCTGAAGCGCTAAAAGGACCATTGGCTTTCGCTTATGAGACGGGAACTATTCATAGCTTTCACCTTTCCCACCCATTCTGCATGAATGCGCACACACTCGTGTATTTGATTGTCTGAAACCACAGGGGCAGAGAGCCGGGTTGGAGAGCTGCACGGCTGTGTGTTGTGCACGTTGCTTGGATACTGTCTCCGCCTTGGAAGAGGAAAGTAGTTACAAAACCGCCAGGCATGAATATCGGGGGCCGGAGAGCGAGACATAAACAAGCCAAACATGATAAATAGTGCAGGGCTTTAGTGCCTGCTACTGTTTCGCCTGATGGTTCAGGACTCGGCTAAATCTCAAGCCTCCCGCAGACTGAAGCGTGTTGTGACTATGGCACTGTGACTGCAGTCAGTCATCAGCTCTTCTGTATCCTCCCTCAGCCATAGACCTTTTGGAAGTACATATTTCCACAGCATCCCAGACCAGAGGAGCTCCGAAAAAAGGCCATTTGCATTTTTTACACTGACCTGAGGGCTTTTTCTTCTCATACATTTAGCAAAGGGAGGGGAGAGGTATCAAATTGTTTTCAGTCTGCAACCGCAGCGCTGGATGTTCTAATGATGGGCGTCCATCGAGTTGGTGCTCGCAGGTGTAACCGGATTCCCAAAAGCCTGCCTTTTAATTTTTGCCCTGAGCTTTAGTCAACTTGGATCTTTTGACGATACACAACTGGAGATTTTGTTAAGCCAGGTGGTTTAAGCACTGTTCCTAACGTCAGCTTGTTAAAACATCCCCCCCCCCCCCCGGCTAAAGCAGCAAGGAATGCATTATCTAATGTTTCATTGGAGTCCACCTCGCCAACGATTAAATTCTAGACACTGTTTGCATAGAAACATATCTGCGCTGCCTTCAGGAGGCCACGTCGATCCAAGCCCCGGCTTCGGTGTCACACAGATGACAGCGGAGCCGTTATCCTCCTCCCCCAGGTGGCTGCAGTGTAGTCTTTCCACTTGTGCACTTAATGAGCCAATCCACATCGAGTGTTTCTGTGTTCTCTGCTTCCATTTACCTCGCATCCCGAGTGAGTCTCCATGGCCTCGCATAAGTGCCTTCCATTAGACAGGCGTACACACACACACACACACACACACACACACACAAACTTAACAGTCCCAGCGCTCATCGCCAGAGAGTGTGCGGAATAGTAAGTAATGGGATCTTGATATTAAGAAAGACATTTGAAAACAATTATTCAAATGGCTGTCTGCCTGTTGAATCTCCTAATCCCACAGCGAAGCACTCAAGCAAACACTCAGAGGTCGTGACCCCGGCTGAATTAGCATGGAGAAAAAGGGGAACGCAGCTCCGGAGCCGCAGATGCTAAAATGTCTAAACCGCTCTCTGGTTTGTCACTCTCGCGCCGCCTCCTGAAAGGAAAAGTGGCTTTTTAGAGCACGAGGCAGAGCGAACGGATCCGCTGTGGCTTTTAAAGGTTGTCATACATGGCATTTTCTCAAAATGTCAAAGGGGCGGCCCCTTAATCTCAGAGAGGCTTTGAACGCGCTTGGCAGGCGCTTAGCGGCCTGACCCGTCTGTGGCACGGCGGAAGCAGGGAGACGCTGCATCCAGTTCTCTCCCGACTCAGCAGGTTGTGCTGCGTGTTCACGGCCGCCGCTCACGTCGGGCAAACGGAGTGTGTTAATCTCAGGCCCATCGCACCCGACCTGCTACCGTCAATACATCTTTTGAATCATGGCCCTCCGAGGGAGAGAAGCCTTTTGGGGGCCCTTGTAGAGTCCGTGCGTTGTAGAGTGGTCGCGAGTAATTGAGTGGCCCTTAGCGGTTTAATATTTAGCGATCGCGGCCATCGGCCCATTTGTTCCACCAGAGGAAGGCGGGATTATCCTCCAGTGAGGATCCCGAGCGTCTTCCTGAGTGTTGGTCCTTAACAGTGATGAAAGGTAACCACTCAAGTACTGCTCTTCACAACGGTGTTGAAGTATTTGTACTTTACAAGAGTGTTTGCCTTTTAGAGCTTATCTGTTATGTTTTTTTAACCGGGCAAGGTATAATCATTAGTACCTACTGACCAAAATAACCCAGTGACAATTAGTATCAAAACTTCTCTACTAAAAAAAGAATTTACCTTTACTTCATACTTCTTGTACCCGCAGCTTAAAAACAAAAGGGACCCTTAATGTGTCTTTGTTTCCCCATCGCTGCGAGCCGCCTTCTCAGTTATAGTACGGCCATACTTCAATCCTGAGCTATGTGAGAACAGGTATGGCCCATAGATTTGATATAAATTCCCTTGGAATTGGCATTGCCTTAGAAAACCTGCTTCACCGTGACCAGCTGCACAATTCATACGTCCTTTATTGAGGGAAGCATCAGTAATAATATTCCTAAAAGCTACATTCTGCCTGATGCCCGATAGGTGATTCCATGCAAGCGTCACATTTAGCACTGACATTCGGATGAAACCCACCCACCGTCTTTTGCCATTCGGTGGACATGTCTCGTCAGCATAGTCTTGTTTGTCCTTTTGTATTTTCAAGGCTACGTGCATCCTTCAGATGATGGCGTCTCCCGCTGACACGAGTCAGGACAGAACTCCCAAAGCAGTGAATTCTCTCATGAGCGTGTATCACAAATGAAACCCGCCGTTGTTCTCAGTCAGCAATCGAATATGATTTTAACGCCGCCGCATTCTCTGCTCATTACAGACGGACCCGTCCGAAGCTCAGATTGCTTCCAAAGCCTGATTCCGCAGGGATGTTTTAATAGGACCCAAACGACCCATTTCATCCGCCGCCAAAATAGCCGCATTCCAATGAATGCAACCCGTTTCCATTCCAAGGGGCGGCAGCAGTGATTGACGCGTCCCTGTTCTCTGGTTTACATTAGATGGGAAAATAATTGGCACCTGTATTCCTGCACATGCTTCGAAGCCGGGGGGAGAGCAGAGCACCGCCAGGTTTCATTTCACTGAGAAGTCTGATCCCCTATTCACTCCAGATGTGCAGGCACACACACAGATTTCTATCTGGAATACCTGGGAAGATTAAAATAGAGTAAAGACGCTTCTCATCTCGTCATGCAGCCATGTAGCTCTGCATTGATATTTCATTAATGGATACGTGAGCTCAAAATATCAACATTAAGGTAGGTACTCGCATGGGTGCCTCTACCGTCCCTCTATCCCGCACCTCATCTTCTTCTCATCAACTCGTCCTCTCCCAATCTCCTCTTCCTGCTCTCCACATCGGCCCTCTGGCGATCCCCTGTAGCTAGTTATCATGAGGGTGAGCCGTTTGAAGTCCATTAAGCATCCAGTCTCCTGGCCGGCCCAGGCAGATTGGATGTGATCTTGGCGGTTTAGTGGAGGGGGCCGAGCGGCGGGGGCGGGATGCCCGGGCAGAGTAATTGCTTGCGTAATTGCACTCTGGGGAAAGGTATAGAGCAGCAAGGCCTAAATTCATCCGCTTATGCCCATAGGCTGCACGGACAACGCTGGTCGTAGCGCCTCGCCTCTCCTCACACCTCCCGCATTCCGCTGCAGGGGAAGGTCTATGGCGGAGGAGGAGCGGTGGCGGGGGCGTCAGGTGGAGCAGTGGGCTGGGTGAGAGGAACTTTGCTCGGGGCTGAGGAGACGGAGGGAGCAGGAGAGGAGATGGAAGTGCCCTGCTGGTGAACTGAAATACAAAGTCCCCGTAGGGAAAGGCTGTTTTCTTGCGTCAAATCACCTCATGCAAGTTGGAAGATGAGACAAATCTTCCATTTCTGCCAATAGATTCCACTAAACGGTCTACTCAGAGTGACGTTCCCATAAAACCAAACTACTTTGCCATTTCTGTTACGAGAAAAATTTGTTTTTGACTCGTCACAAATGAATACGTTCATCATTATTTATGTGATGTGCTGGGTCCCCGTTGCATTCTACCTTCATAAGCGGCTGTGGTCACGAGGTTTGTGAGATGGTCCGTTAAACAGGACAGTCGGAAAATTGTGCTAATTCAATTAATTAATTCTCAATTATCTCGTCAAACATTGGATGTTTATTTTTAAATCGTTTGACATATGGCTGTTGGTCATATGAAACGAACGAATGGTTGCAGGCAGACATTTGTTTTTTTTAAGACGGTTGCCAGGCCAACGCTCGGTTCATAGAATGCTCTTGCAGTGACCTATGAGTCACGATGCAAACGTATTTTTTCTTGGTATGGCTGAAGGAAGGTTGAGATAAAGAGGCCGATCACTCCCTGTTCAGTGGAAACCGCGTACTGCACCTGAACCATGCGGCGCACTAATCATCATACTGAGATCAGAGGTTGAGGGTACAATTAGAACTATGGTCTCTGTAAATCAGGAGAAGGGCCGGCATTGGGAAAGTCCTTGAAAGTGTGGCTACAGCATTGCTGCACACAGACAGACTGCTTAAGTGGACCACCACCGGTGTGTGTGTGTGTGTGTGTGTGGGGGGCGAGATCAATGGTCAGGGTCAAACTGTCTGCTCATGCAAAATCGGTGAGTCACTCCGGATGTGTGTGATCTGCACATCCCATGTTGCTCAACCCCTCACCTCCACTCATTTACCCCCCTCCATCCCCACACCCCCGACCCCATATCTCTGCAGCGGTAAGATAGGACAAGGTGTGTGTGGTGGACGAGGGTGGGTGTTTGCAGTGTGTGTGTGTGTGTGTCAGGAGGAAGAGGAAGCTCACAGGGGCAGACAGATGCTGAAGGATAAAGATGTCCAACTGAGATCTATCAACCGCCAGGCGGGCGGGTGTTGCTCCACCGCCGACCCACATCCCCGCGGACGCTCGCGCGGCTCTGTGCCTCCCTCGGCGGGAATTTCACTCCCACCAGGGCGCACGTTGTCGTGTCTTTGGTCTTCGTATGGCCGCCACCGTGTCTGTCCTTAACCTTAACCCTGACCGCGACATGCGTACCGCCAACCATGCACTCAGCAGCCATACATGCTGTGTGAAAGTGATGCTCGGTTTTGTGTGTGTGTGTGTGTGTGTGTAGTACATAATGTGTGTGGCGAGGTCTGTCCGCTGGAGCAGACTGCAGCCAGAGTCACCAGGGAGAGGATGCGGTTATGAAGACGAGTTGAAGGTCGGTGCAGTAAATGAGGTCAGCATGAGAAAATAAGCCCTAATACACAGCGACAGGGCACCTATGGGTGTAAATGAAGCATGCACGCCGACATCATCCCCTTTCTTCTTTCGGCTGAGCGCACTCGGTCATTCGGCGCGGCGGCAGATCGGATGTAGGTGGTGCGTCTCTGCACTTTTTAAAGTCAGGTTTTCCCACACAAATAGATTCCCAGAGGGAGCAGGAAGGCTTGCTTTTGTTTTCTTGTTCACGCCAGCTGCACCTCTGAACCGCTGTTGTCGGTGAACCGGTCCGTCTTCCTCCACTACATTTAGCGCTGTCGTGCGGCGTGCCAAGGTCACGAGAGGTCAGCGCGACGGGCTCCGGCTCCTTTTTTCCCCCTCTCCCTGACCATGTGCATGAAACCTCCCCGCTGCATGTCTTTCTCGTTTGGATCGCTTAACCCACAATTACATTTCTTGCAGAAGGCACGCTGTAATTTAGCACCGCAGAGGAAAGGCCTGAGCTTTTGTGTTGATGTGCAGATGAACTCTCAGCCCCGTTAAGACCACTGATCTGCTCCGCTTAAGGTCGAGGTTCCCTTGAGAAACACGCTAAAACCCTGACAGCTTCAGGTCTGCGGTCAATGGGGACCTGAGTTTTCTATTGCTTTTGCCCCCCCCCTCTGCGTCTCCATATTGTCTCTGACTCACTCTGCTTTCTCTCCCTGACTGTGTGAAAACAACAGGGGGGGAAATCTTTCATCCCTCTCTCTCTTATAAGTGAAACGTTTCCCATGAAAAGCCTTAAAGGCATATTCTCCTCTTGGTTTGTCTCTGGGTGTAGGTGTCTGGATCTGTGCTGTACTGCAGCTACGGAACTGGCGGACTTTTCACACACTGGATCAATAAGCTCCTAAATACCCACTTATTTTAAACCCCTACTACGATTAATGCACTCAAATACAGAGACATCTTAACCCTGTTGACATAATTACATTCAGAGGATAAAAATAAGTGTTAATGGGCTGATTAGTAGTTAAGTTGTTCCTCAGGATTCAGGAATCAGGAAATATGTATTGCCATAATATGGCGTCATAACAAGGAATTTGACTTGGCGGTTGGTGCGTAACAGCAGTACGACAATGGACAACAAGACAACAGTGCACGAGGAATGAAATACAAAATAAAGGTATGAGTTGGTAGTATAGGGCTATGGTTTAGTTTAAATAAAGTTAAATAAAATAAAATTAACATTGACCTTTACCTCTCCATTCATCATAAAATGTCTTTGTAATATGACGTGTTTGTTCTCGGGTGCAGCTGTGGAAAGCAGTACAATCATGAAGGGGGGATTTGGTAGAGAGCAGGTTAAACTGTAGGATGTCCTGCACTGTTCCCACCACATGGGGGCAGTGCAGTCCCAGCTTTAACAGGCCCACGTGTCCCATCACATACATGTAACTGTGCGTGTGTGACAGTGTGAAAGTGAATCTGCAGCAGTGTTCTTTCCACAGTGTAAACAGACTGGAGTGTGTGTGTGTGTGTGTGTGTGTGTGTGTGTGTGTGTGTGTGTGTGTGTGTGTGTGGCCCTAAGCGGGGCCTGTTTCCCGGCTCGTCCTGTGCTGCATCAACTGAACGGATCACTTAGAAGCAGTTCTGCTGGATGCTGGATCACTTCCCCTGCTGTCAACAGGAGGGCAGCGTGGGAGAGAATGGGGGAGGGGGGCATCATCCCACACAGAGAGAGAGGTGTTTTCTTTTGTTTAGACTGGGCGACAGACTTATGAAGTGAGTCCAGTCCACTGATCACGCGTGTATTCACTCCTGTCAAGGAAGCACGTCTGTTCCAAAGATCCCGTGTTTAAATGTCGTCATTATGAGCTGCGGCTCTATCTTTAGTAAAAGTAAAAATATGGCCTCAGGGAGACATTTGTGTAATATCCTTACATAAAAGGCCAGGTGGATCCCATCAATACAACCCTGTTGCAGAGCCGCATGTGATGCCCGTTGCATGCGGAGGGGGCGCTGTTGTTCTTCCACCACGGCGTTGTGTGATGGGGGGGGGGTCACTTTTGAAAGGATGCAGAATAGCGCGCCAGGGAGTCCAAAGGTCCAATGGGTGTGTGTTGGGTGGGGGTGAAACCCATAGAGAAGGAGCAGCAAGGATGCGCTGAGAGTGACTCGATACACCCCCCCCCCCCAACAAAAAAAAAAAAACTGGAAGAATTGCGCTCCGTCAGTGCGCCCTGCCTGCCGGTCGGAGGATGGGATTTTCTTCCCCCCCCACACACTCACGCACGTCCTCTTTTACTCTCCTCCTCCTCCCCCTCCTCCCCCTCTCAAACCAGCCAGTCGGTCTGTCAATGTGCGGCGAGCAGTCGGGCAAGTCGAAGCAGTGGGATTGTGGAGCGGAGAGACGGATGAGATAACCGCGAGAAGCGCTTTCCTCCGGCTCCAGATGATGCGCCACATCTGATATGCGTCAAAATCCAAACCGGGCACCGATGAGCACGACTCGCGACTGATTTTTTCCTTCGTTTTTTTTTTTTTTGTCAAAGAAAGAAAGAAAAAAAAAGAAAAATCACTACACAAGTTTCACGTCGGCCTCTTTTTTCTCCTCCAGACTGCGAGAGCGGAGATGCTTTTCTAGTTCTTTGGTTTGTTTCTGCCAGTTTGCTGGTTTTGAATTGATTCCTGCACTTCTCCTCATTTGGGATCTTGATTTTTTTTCTCCATCATCGAATCCGTCGCTGAAGGAATTTGCGGATTTACCACCGGCGTTGAACCTTTCCACCCCCCCGCAGAGACGGGAACGAGGACCGCGCTGCGCGTTGACTAAACCACCATCAACATGTCCTCACGAGGATGGAGCCGAGGACACGCGTGACATCTTCTCCTTTTTAACCGCGTCCCCCCCCCTCCGCCAGCCTCCCCCTCACGGAGCACGTTTCTCCTCGGTCCGGCCCGACATGTCGGGAGTGTTATTTCAACAATAAACGAAAACAAAAAGGTAATGGGAGAGAAATCCCACAGAGTCGCCACGGACAACAAGGGAACATTGTTCGCGGGGAGACAACCAGGGCGCACCGAGAGGCTCCGCGAATAGACTGACGTCCGAAAAGTCCATTCGGCGGAGTTGTGGTTGAGTGCAGGAGAAGGAGGAGAAGAGGAAAAGGAGGACTAACGACCGAATTGAGGTGGAAAGTCGTGGGATCGCCGCTGAAATAGTAGAAAACCCACCGTGGACGCGCACAACTCTCGTTGGTTTGTGGACATCCAGACGCGCGGATTGAGCAAGTTTCTCCAGCACATTTCCTGTTTATTTTTTTTAATTATCCTGTAGGTCTGATCCGGTCCACCTGATCCGGATCCCCTGAGGTTGTACGCTTCACACTTTGACTGTCTATACAAGCCGGCTCGGCTGCAGTCTCGCCTCCATTGTTTCGAGTAATCTCCTCTCTCCACACGCATCTAAAGCAACAACAACAACAACAACAACAAAACTAAAACGATTGGCCCGTTTCCTTTGAATGGGGCTGCTTGTGCTGGGCTTCAGGGTTGAAATGGCGTGTCGAGGAAGTGCCAATGGAATGGGGCTCCTTCTGATATTCTTACTGGATTTACTGGCGACGACGGCCAGCAATATGGAGCCGATCTACTGGAATTCCCTGAACGAGCGGTGAGTTTTCTGTTCGACTCTGTCGATTCACCGCTTCGATATTTGCGCGACCGACGCGACGGCGATCAGCGACCCGTGCGGAGGAGCCGACGCGGGCAACTTCACTTAACGGAGCGTTGCGCGAAGTTGCACGAGGTCAGCGGTTCACCGCTGTTTCACTGCGCTGGTTTGCCATCGATCCGCGCGGGTTTGCGCGCACCCGACGTGTGCGCACCTCGCGCGGCTCCGGTCATTTGTCTCCTCGGCGCGGATTACAGCGGTGGATCCAGCTGCAGCTCTCCTGTACTGTGTGTGTGTGTGTGTGTGTGTGTGTGTGTGTGTGTGTGTGTGTGTGTGTGTGTGTGATGCTCTAATTGGTGCTCCTGGGTGACCTTGATATAGAGGAGGTCCAGGGGCCCCCCGCGGCCCCCGCAGGCCTCTCAAACACCGGCTCGGCCCTCGCTGGTTAGGGTCTCTTTCTTTCTGTCCTCGGACAAGGTGTCGGGCATTAGCGGAGGAAATGTCTTAAAAACACCTCCCGGCCTGTCCGGGCCTTAACGACCGACACCACTTTCCTAACACCTCTGCTAATTTCCCAGTGTTTGAGTAGACGCCCGGCGGCAAGAGGGGGGGGGGGGGGTAACAAGGCGGCCTCTGTGTGCGGAATTCAGAGACACCAGGCTTCATTTTCAGAGCTTTGACATATTCTACTATACATGTATATTTATACATCATCATCATTATATTCCTCATCTTAATAAATGCTTCATGAAGTCCACCAAACCATCAGCCTTGAGGCACCGCCGTCCCCGCTCCCGTTTCTTCGACGTTTTGCCTGCATGACTCACCTCATAATGACACAAAAAGAAGCTACAAAAGCAGATTGAGGCTCACTGATGTGGAACTCCACCAAACCGTGCCGTTCTCAGCTCACACCCACGCCAGGGGGCTTTTTCTTTTAAAGAGTCTAACAGGTTTTAACGTGCTGGAGGCCATGGCCTGCCCGGTTTCTCCACAGATGTGACTGTGCGTGCCCCCCCCCCCCCCCCCCCCTGCTGTGGAGCCAGCCATGAAGCCCTTAATGAGGGCTTTTTTTTTTTTTTGTCAGCAGTGGGTGGATTCACCCGACAGGGAGTAGAGTTGGACACGCGAGGGCGGTTCTCAGCGAGAAGCCAGCAGCTCGGGCTTTTCAGGCCTCACAGGTGATTCCGCGCTATTGTGTCCTAATGGAGTTTGGTGTCGGGTGGGTGTCGGGTGGGTGTCGGGCCTCGCTGGCAATTAGAGGGGCGGTGGCTCCGACGGGCCGACTCCGTAGTCGTTCCCACAGATTTGCTCGCTCGTATATTCAAAATACAAAGCCTATTGTATACTTTGGGGCTTATTCGTGAGGCTTACTATTCATAGTTAATCAGCTTAGTCATTCCTCCAGTAGTTTATTTTCCTTTTTTTTTTTTAAACGCATTCCAAGTACTTGTTTTCTGCGCCCCCCACGTGTGAGAGGTGGTACACTCCTTTACTTCCACTTGGGGTTTGGCCCCGGGGCAGAAATATTTTGGAGGCCCACGGCTTAGACCAAAGGGCGTGCTGTTTCTCCCAGGAGAGAGGTCCGAGGCCCCCCCCCCCCCCCGCACCCCCCGCCCCCCCCCACCGCACACGCGTTGCCCAGCATTGTCGGTGCGGGGCGATGCCGGAGCAGCCGTCTGTATCAGCGAGGTGCAGGAGTGCACGGTTCGCGTCCCGTCCGCGTAGCAAATGGGCCGTCACGTTGTTAACCTGTCGACCTCGGCCGGTTGCTGTGCTTTGAAGCTCAGACCGTCCACCTGCAGCCTCCCTCCACCTCCCGTCCTCCTTTCCGCTTCCGCGAGCATTCTCCGAGCGCCTCCGCCTTTCACCCTCTCCCTTATTATTCCTCCTCCTCGTGATGCCTCTGGTCCCAACGGCCTCCTCTGCCCCCCCCCCCCCCCGGGGCGATTTTGTTTTATTCTTGTTCCTCTTCCTCCTCTCCCCCCTGTCACTTTCCGTCTGTCTCTATCTCTACCTCGCTCCGTCACTCCACCCACCCTCCGGGGCAGTGGCCAGACGTAGCAAATTGGAAACATGTGTCACATCCAGCGACTAATTATAGCGCCGCTGACGGAGTCAAAGACGCGCTAGGAGTGACAGAGGTGAAGGGGGAGAAGGAAGCGCCGCTTGCCTCGGACTCGTGCCCCCCCCACTAATAACCCCTTGAATACACACTAAAAAACAGTCCAATACAACGAGCGGGCTGACGGAAGTGTCTGTGAAATAAGTAAGTATCAAAATGCTCACGGCCGCATCCACCCTTTTTATTGACCGCTGCGTCCGTCGGAATTACTACGGCCGCCCGAGAAAGACGCGAGTGGTGTGCAGGGAGGCGTGTGAGGGCCACGGGCAGAGAGCAGAGGCCGTCCCCGACCAGAAGTAAATCAATGCCAGTTTAATCCCAAGTGCCGATTACAGCTTCTGCTCGAGGAAGAGAGAACTGAACCAGAAGGGATCACCTTGGGAAGACCCCACCCCAAACCTCCCCCCCCCCCCCCAAACCCCCACCCAACCCACCGGAGACGTACATTACCCTTATCCTCAGCATCTCCTATTATCGGCCTTACACGGCCGCCCTAATGAAAGATCGAATCTTACATCACTGCCAACACACACACACACACACGGGGATCAAAGAGGTCAGACTAGTGGTGGACACACACACACACACACACACACACACAGATAAAAAGAATGCAAGAAGTGCTTCTTTGGCTTTGGACACTGGTGTGATTACAGCATATGGCGTCGGGCCTTAAGCGGGTTTGATGCCGGTGTCTGTTCTGATTCCGCTCTCACAGCTTCTTCCTCTGCTTCAGCAAAGGGCTGTAGATTATTGTAAACGGCTGCCGAGGGGGGAGTGAGGGGGGGGCGCGGCGGCTCGCTGCTCGTGGTGACTTGTAATACAACCATTCCCCCCTAAGATCCAAATTAATATTTAATCCCCCCCCCCCCCCCCCCCCATTCCTGTTTTTCAATAATTCATTAATGCGCCGGCTACTGGGCGCCGTATAAATGACGAGGTAACTGGACTAAGTGTTTCAGCTACAGACAAATAGAGAAAACAAAGGAGAATGACATCAGTACAAAGACTCGTCAATAACAAAAGAGATCAGTGTGAATCTTGTTGGCGGGGGGCGGGGGGGGCTTTCTGGGCCTGCGAGTGGAATGAGTGTTAGTAGGTCAAACAGGGTGTCGTATCAAAGGAGCAGCATTCCACACATTTATTGATTGTTTGTATGTTTGGAACCCCACACCTGGCTTCACCCCACCCCACCTTACCCCACCCGGTAGACTCCACCCGCAGGTTCTCCCCCGTCATGAATAATGCATTCAAGCGCCGAGGCTTTTCTGGGCTGTGTGGATAAGTAAGCGGGAGCTTGGTAAGCCTACACGCATCCTTAGGCGAAATGATTAGAGAATATCCACCGGGTAGTTTGTGTTTTATTTCGAGAGCGAGGGAGTGTAAAAAAAGAAGCGAGAGGAGGGACGTAGAGATGGAGAAAATATGAAGCACATTGCTGGAGCTGCCTGTTAAAGCAACCCGGCCGCAGCAGCTCCCTCGCTCCCTGTTCCCTTCCGATCCCTCCTTCTCCCTGGGTGAAAAAAGGACTAGTGTGTGTAAGTTTACGAGCTGCGAGCAACAGGAGCTGTGAAAAGAGGTTTCAGCTGATGTGGCAGAATGGAAAGCCAAGGGGGGGGGCGGCAGCCGATCTGGCCAGAGGCTGCCGTCCTCTTTCTGTCTTTCTTCCTTTTCATCATTCCCTTGTCCTGTCTTTGGACATTGCAGGAAGACAGACAGACTCACAGGTATGCACTGTGCAAAATCCAGACGCACAAACACACGGACCTATTGCATGTTCTTGACAGATGCCTGCTCGCACACTCGCACCCATGCGCACGCAGAAAAGAGACTCGCGGGGCTCGACCTCATCTGTGGTGGAAACGTGTAAAGAGTGTGTGGTCCTGATGTATCTTCTGTGTCGCAGTAAAGACACGCATTTAGAGGGGACACACACACACACAGGAGAGGTGAGGGGAGGGAATTGGCAGGCGTCACAGACCGTTGTTCCCCTGGGAACGCATTCATTATTCCATCACTCGATTATAACTTTATTTATTTTCAGCAGTTGATTATAACTTTTCGTGCACATTCATCAACATCATAACGGCGATGAAGCGCTGGTGTAAATGTGCTGGGGCGAGCTAAAGAACTCATTTACTTCTCCATTCCCCGGGGGCTCTAGAAGTGACTTTGGGATTTTGCTAATTGTTAAAAGTGCTGATGATCAGGATGGAGGAGATAAAAAGCCGGTTCAGAATGTTCGAACACATGCGGAAACAAGCGGAAACTTTTCTTCCCTCGAAGTGGCCTCAATGGCAGAGATGGTGGCAGTTATCCCGGCCTATTGGTCTGAGTGGGGTCACATGTGTCCCAGCATCACTGGGCAGATTGCCCCGGGTGGCTGAACCCAGAGGCCCTCAGGAATGGCCAGACACGACATGTGCGCACACACACACACACACACACACACACACATACACACGCGCATACACACGCGCGCAGGCCTCTCATTAGCTTGCTTCACAGCACACCCTGCCAAAGCAGGATCATCCAACCCTCCTGGCAGCATTTGGACCAGGCCAGGTCAAACCCCCCCCGTCCCCCAACGGGTGACACAGAGAAGCGGGACAAGGGGCCGTAATGAAAGCGTGGGCGGACGGACTTCACGGGTCAGACGGGAGTGCAATGTAAGGGCGACCTCTGTCACACTGCTCATCACCTCCTCCGTGCTTTCTATCCTCCCCCCTCGTCGCCCCTCGAGTTCTGTTGAGGCTCAGTATCACGAGACTCCACTGCTGCAAGTCTCCACGTTGGACTGGTCGGTTTTTTTCGTCATTCAGATAAACGGGATCGCAGCCGGAAGGAGTCGACGTGCTCGTCATTCTGTGTGTGT